GCCCTTCTCTAACTTCAATGTTCCTCTCCTACAGCAATTTTAAAATAAAAAGTAAGGCTTCAGTTTGTCCTTTTAGTTGACCTTTATACATTTAGTGGCTGTGCATCTGCACCAGTTAAATGACAGAGTAAGAAGATTTCCACCCTTTTTCTGGCTCTGGTTTCACCATGTGTGAGGCCAGAGAGGTGGCAGATCCTTGGGAAGCAAGTATTTTCTGCTTTTTGTAAGAATGAGTAAATTACTTCCACCCTCACATCTTGCTATGCTTTGTATGGAAGTACAAATTTTTGTATAACCTCCCTCAAATTGCTCCCATGGTGATAATGGAGGAGTTTTCTCCCTGGGCACCTCAGTGAGCTGTTTGTATTGGGAATTGCCTGCTCTCTCTCTTAATGAATAGAGGCGGAATTTAATAACTTAAGGATTCAAAAATATGCAGGGTGTCTTGGAGGAAAGGTTTTCCTTGCAGCTCTTCCACTTCAGTGCTTGCATTTACTTGAAAGTTTGGCATGGGTCTGTGCCCCTCCACAAAGGAAAACCCTGTGGCTGGGGCCTGGAAATTCATGGCAGAGAAATGCAATTCCCTTCATGTTTACCAGGGAATCAAGGCACCACTTCAAGTAGTCCAAAAAAATGGTACCAAGTTAACACCTTGCAAAATACATGTTTTTACCTACATCTGAGATCAGCACAAATAATTTTATGCAGTATATTTTTGATGTGATGCTAAATTATTCAGTTGAATTCATGACTAACCTCTGGCTTTCATTATTTCCAGTCTTTATAAAAATGAAAAATAACTATGATATTTCATTAAACAGGGAACAGCTTGCACTGTGTATGGAGACCTGGCACCACATGCTGTAAATCTTTATGAAAATGGGTTGTCTGATTTACAGTGGTGCAAAATCAGAGAAAAATTATTTTTGCTGATCTCTGTGAAAGAGAGTAAGAATGAAGCAATTAAGATAATGTTAAAGTCATACTTGTAGTCCTGTCATGATAATCTTGTTGCTATTTGAATAAAATCATCCTCTGGATTGCTTTTTAAACTCTCTTTCATATTGATTTTTCCCTTCCTGTCATAATATTGTCTTACCAGTGAAGTGGCTGTCCCTTGCTATCTCTGTGCAGTGGAAAATTGATTTGGTCCCGTGTTGACCCCAGTTTTGTTCTGGTTTAGAGTTTAATTTTCATTCAACAAAAGCTACAGTAGTTTAGATAACAAGTATTTCTTTCCTCAGCTGACCAAGTCCTGCTGCCTTTTCCCTGCAGGCACAAAGCAGCACCAGGGCTGCCCTCAGCTGTTGCAGCACTGGGAGTGACCCTGCTGGGCTCGGGGAAAAGCCAGGGCTGGGAAACTGAGGTGTCGTGGCAATGGCTGAGGATGAGCTCTCCAGAGAAATATTCCTGGAATTTGCTGGAATTAGGAAGGGAAATGTTCATTTCTGACAACAGTGACAGATTTGTAGACTGGGTACACTAATTAAAACCAACTTACTCTAAGATATGAATCTGTAAATGACAGCAGCAGGAGAGCTGGGCTGCTCTGTGCCCTTCTCCTGCAACCACAGAACCTTGCCACATACAAAATTCAGGAATAACATTTTGCAAGAAGCAAACTGAAGGATTACTTCCTTCTGCTGTGAAACATATGGGGAGATGTTTTGCTGTAAACTGTACACTCATGTGCAAGACAGAAAGAAACAAAATGTTTTCATTTGCTCTTTATCTTCTCTTTTCATTGCTGTTTCTTGTTCACAGGGATGTGGTGGAATCTAGCTAAGAAGTTGGAAGAGAAAAATACTTCCAACTAAATCTTTACTCATACTAAATGTAACATCTTGGGATTGTTCTGCTTTGAGATTTATCTGAGAAATTCCTCTGTAAAAATTTTCTTGCCCTGGATAAGTTCTACTCCTTCCTTGCAACCTCTACCAGTAATCTCAGTAGTTGGAGACATTGAGAAATGAAAGAAAAATATTTCTAGTGTGCATTCAAAGCACCTCTGATATTACATCTGTATTCCTACTTCAGCAATGATTTAGCTGGATGTCTCAATGCATGACAAGATGACAGTTAAATGAAAATAATGGAATAATTTTGTTTTTTACAAACATCACTCTAGTTTGCATTTGAATGTAGAAAATTGGAACTTAGTATTTTATTACACATATGGAATTTAAGTCTCTATAAAGCAGAGGAATAATAATGCTTTTTGAAAAGAATGTGAAGCTTAAAACCCCTCAAAATGAAAGGCTCTGTAGATGTTTAAGATTACAACAGTTGAATCTGATACAGTTTTATTTATTTATTTGCTATTTCTTCACTAAACTTCACCCTTTCCCCCCATTTAATGGATATGTCCTTGAATATTCTCCTTATAGTCATTGAAGTATCTGCTGAAGTTCCTAAGGCTGCAATTTCCTTGTAATCTTCCATCTGTTTCAAATACAGTCAGGTCTTCAGCTCCATAAAAGCATCCAGTGAAGTCAGTGCAGTTACATGGAATTTCTTCAGATGAGGATCTCACTTGTGATGTTTGTGTCTCCATTTTTCCTAACCCCTAACTTCTTTCCACTGTATAATTACAAATTGATCATGGTTGCCTGATTTTGGTTAGACTTTGCATTCACAATTACAGAAAATGGCCTCTTGTAATATGGGTGTGACCTTTACAAAAATATCTGAAACTCCTTTCATAAACTATTTTTCTAACATAATATTTACAAAAGGAAAGGATTTACTTTTATGACTTTTCTTTTGTTGTCAGCCTGCTGCAATGGTGACACAGAGCATTGTGCTCAAGACTGTTCTTAATTGCCAGGGAAGATGCCAAGGACTGCCCTAGGTTAAAAATCTGTATTTACTAGTTAGAAAGGTCACACTTGAAAATGTCCATGTGATTTTTTTTTCCTTGCCCTCAGATGTTGGGGGCAATGCCCTCTTTGGTGAAGTTCCTTGTATGCACAAAGGACCCAGGTGTATATATTGCTTGAAAGAATTATTCCATTTCTATAGAACACATACAGAAATGGGAAGAGTGAAAGGATATGATGGATATAATCTACTGCAAATGGTTTTACTTTTTACTGTAATTTAGCACAGTCATAAATGGAAACTAAGATAAGTGTTGGAGAAGAAAACTGAAGTGATTTGCTTTGAATTACAATATTTTTATGATCAGTTAGAAGCTGCAGCAAAGTAGGATTCATGATACTGTCTGTAGATATCAATTTTACTTTGTAGTAGTAAATCAGTAATTAAATCACTAAATGCTGACTCTGAGCAGCTTTTCTGTTTGCTGGGTTCCTTAAGCTGTGAGTCCCCACATGAAAATCTTTGCTGTTTTTTTTGTACCTAGTCCAGGTCACCAGGAAATAGCTCCTAGAAGAATTCAGCAATCGAATATTCCTTATTCAATTATTCTCCAACAGATATTTTATAACATCTGTAATTAACCCAAAACATTTCAAATCTGTCTCTGGCATTCAGAATGTCACGATGTACCAAAGAAGCCATGGCAGATAATTTCATTACCACCAGCACTGTGTATTTTATACCTTCAATATCAGTCTTCAAGGTCTGACACAAGTTGTAAGACTTTTATTGCTGTCAAGCTATATAAAATCCTGGTGCCAGCTTCTTAACACTTGGAAAGTAATAACACTCTTCAACTATTTAAAAAAGTATGGACTGTTTTCTTGGAATGGATTTGCAGAGCTGAGCTACCATTCTCACTAATATTTGTATGTCTAACACCACCCTGCCATGAAATCAATGAATCTGTTTCTGTTCCCTGCAAGTGTAAAAAAGGATAGCAGTTTGTGACCATGATCATAAAACTTCTTTGAATTTAAAACATCATATGTGTCTTCAGAAGCCTGCATAAGAAATCTTGAATGATTCATATCTTATTTTTAAATCATAAGCTTTTGTTTCACCAGGAGTTCATGCTTTCTGTGTCTGAAAATGATGCAAATAAGTTGCCTCTACTGGTCAAGAATAAAAACTGAAGTAAAATAAAAATAAAAAATGATACGGCTTCCCATGTATAGTTTAGGCACTCTAATTATTGTATGTAAATGCAGAATATAAAATTAAAAAAATAAATTTAGATCTTACAGTAACTTAGTAAAAATATACCACTCAAAGTATTTGGAAATTTAGTGCCAACAGAATTAATTGTGCTGCCTATTTCTGATGATGTCAAAATACGCAGCACCTGCCCTTGTGCTGTATAAAATGTTATGAATTCTGTAAATCATAGGACAAATATTAGAAACAAATCTGTCTTGGGCAACATTACAGAGCAATTGCAGACTGTGAGGCCATTGTTTGAAGTTATTTCCATTTAATGAGGACACTGACACATTGTTGGTTGTCCTTGGAGTCCCATCCTGTTAATTCTCCATCAGGCATCAATGGGCCGTGTGCTCTGAATGGAGCAGGACCAGCAGTGAACTCTGTCCCTGGGGACAGAAAATCTCCTCCTGCAGAGTCTGAAAGCTTCCACCAAGCCTAGTGAGCCCTGGAAATGAAGTCTCCCTCAGACATTTTGTCTGGAAGCACAGAGCTCCTCCAGCATGTGCATTGCAGTTTATTTCTGTTGTAACTACAAATTGGTGTGAGTTTGTTGGGTGTCATTCATGCATTTACAGGAATGTAAAACTTCCTGCTGGAGAGTTGTTTAACTGTGGGTGGCTGTCCCCAGGGACCTCCCTCAATAGCTACTGATTTGAGTTTTCTTCAAGTGATCCAGCACTTGGAAATTTCCTATGTAAATATCAGTTTGTTCCTTTTTGGTAAATATTTTGATTAGCTGTAAGTACCTATGATCAGTGTTGCTTACTGATGGTCTGAAAATGATAAACCACAGAAAGTTACTGGAATGCAATGGAAGTTTGGCAGCTCTGGTAGAACAGAAAGCAGAATTAGAGATTCTGTTCCCTTTGGAGCTGTACCAAGTTGCTAATCTTTTGCTGTGTTTGGTATTTTAGGATGTCATGTCCACGTTCTTCCAGTTTGGGGCTTCCATCCAGCAAGAAGCCATTATCATGCTGAAGATCATGCAGGATTATGACTGGCATGTGTTCTCTCTGGTGACCACCACTTTCCCTGGATATCGAGATTTCATCAATGTCATTAAGACCACTGTGGAAAACAGTTTTGTGGGCTGGGACATGCAGAACGTCATCATACTCGATACTGCCTTTGGAGATGCCAAAACCCAAATCCAGCTGAAGAAAATCCATTCATCTGTCATCCTGCTGTATTGTTCCAAGGATGAAGCTGTCTACATCCTGGATGAGGCTCGCTCCCTGGGCCTCACTGGCTATGATTTCTTTTGGATAGTTCCCAGCCTGGTCAGTGGTAACACAGAAATCACTCCCAAGGAGTTTCCTTCAGGACTCATTTCAGCAGCTTATGATGAGTGGGACTACAGTTTAGAAGCTCGGGTGCGGGATGGCCTTGGGGTCATTGCCACAGCTGCCTCAGCCATGCTGGAAAAGTACTCCTTCCTTCCTGAGGCACGAACGAGCTGCTATGGACAGCTGGACAAAAACGACCGGCCCTCTCAAACCTTGCACAAGTAAGGGTGATTGCTTTGGGGCGTTTTAACCTCCTCAGCCTTGATAGTTTTCTCTTTTATTGCCACTGTATGTTTATTGAAGGGGAGTATTGGTTTTTGCTAATGCCATTGAGGCCTTTTTAAGCAGGGGTTTTCAGATGTTGCAGGAGAACGTGCGGGAGGACTTGCTGCACTGATAGCTTGTGGTGCTGTTCACAGGGGCCCCAGGATGAGGGAAGAGATGAGAATCTTGACTCCATGTTTCAGAAGGCTGATTTATTTTATCATCTATATTATATTAAAAGAAAATACTATGTTAAAACTATACTAAAAGAATTGATGACAGAGAAAGGATTTCATCAGAAGGCTAGCAAGGAATAGAAAGGAAAGGAATGATAATAAAATTTTGTGACTGACCAGAGTCTGAGACAGCTGGACTGTGATTGGCCATTAATTAAAAACAACCACATGAGACCAATCAAAGATGCACCTGTTGCATTCCACAGCAGCAGATAATTATTGTTTACATTTCATTTTTGAGGCCTCTCAGCTTCTCAGGAGAAAAGATCCTAATGAAGGATTTTTCAGAAAATATGTCCGTGACAATAGCTGTGCTCCTGGAGGTGATGTGTGCTGTGGAGAATAAACACTGCTCTGAATCTAGTGTAGGAGATGACAGAAATTGATCTTAGAGGGTATGAAGCTGAGTGAACAAAATTGGACTATTGTGTACTTTAACTATGAGGTAAAATTGCCAAAATGCTCTGGAGGCTGAGCCCGTATCTCTTGCATCAGCAGGAACCTGGTCATATTTTAGAAGACAAGAAATGTGCAGCATTAAAATGCTGTCCCTGGAAATTATAGAAGTATTAGATTAGTTAGGCAGCTTTTATCACATGAGACCTGAAATCTGTCCCCTTTACTTTTAAGAGTATCTTTTTGTCACCTCTGTGAAACTTAACCAGCATTAATGCAAGCTGATATAGATGTTTTCTCTAAACAGTTTCTCAGATGGGGACTGCCAAGGTTTAAATCAGGATTCTTTTTTTCTTATTATTATTGTTTTCCTTTTAATTATCCCTTTTAGACATGATACTTCTGATTACTTCTATCCAAAATGTTGCATGGTAATGTATTTCTTTATCTGGTCTGTGAGAGGAAGTAGGGTAGCTTGTGTATTTGTTAATAGCTCTTGTCAATATGGAAGCTACTAAGAAGTATTTATGACCTTTGTTCTAGCCAAATAGTGCAGATGAAGTGCTTTCTACAAAAAAGCAGGCACAGGAAGGAAAGTTTGTGCTGATTTCAAAAAGGAGATTTTGGAACAGTTTAAATTTTGAGATGTATGTGCATATTTAGATTAGGAGTTGATTACCATACGATGTCCTGGAACAGTTTTCCATGAAAACAGCCTCTTTGCACACTGCATTCTTCAGAAGCTTTTAAAGTCAAATGCAACCAAGTAAATGGATTTTAACATTTCCTTAGTGAGAACTTGCCTTTAGCATGACACTTGCAGGCTTTTTTCTGCTTCCTTTCGTAATTTTGAACCTCTGCCTCTAAAGCTACAAATTCCCTGGAGACATTGCAGAAACCCCACAATATTTTCCTGCTTTTCCTACTTATTTTTATTACCAAAATAACAAAGTAATGCTCTAATCCAGTCACTGCTTGGTACTTTCTACTCCCTAAGCTGACCAAACCTGGGAGAGAATTCTAGTACAGATTTTCAGTATGTTCTGGAGTCACTTTGTAGGTAACAAATGGGGCAGGATTTGCCCCTGTGGGTGGCTGTGTGGCCCAGCAGGGTCTGGGGAAGCTCTGGTGTGTCCCTGGTGTGTCCCTGGTGTGTCCCTGGGGTCGGGGCAGAGCAGGGGCAGGCACTGCTGTCCCCCCCAGGGCACCCCTGTGCTGGTTCTTGGTGTGTGTGCTGGCAGTGCCAGGGAGCAGTGGGAGCATCCTGTCAACCAAATTCTGAGCCTTTACAGAAGCACCTGACCTGCAAACCAAGCAGTCACTATTAATAATTGAACTCCAGTTTCTGTGAAAGTTAAATTGTATTCTGTCATAAGTGTTGGGGTTTAAAATACTCTTGGAAGGGGCACAAAAACTTGAACCTGTCTTGAAAAAGGCTCTTACCCTATTGTTTGGCTAATGCACTAGTGTAGACTTGAATTAAGTATTCAGTACTCAGCATAAGCTGTATTTCTCTAAATAATCTTTATTTTCTCATTAAACCTGCATGAGTACAAGAACAGGGCTGGTGAGTGCTGGGGTAGTGAGATTAGACTTCACCAGGAGATTCTGCAGCATGCAGTGCATGATGCACCCAGGAATTATTAATAGGAGAAGCTGTAGTGCACCGTGGTTAAAAAAGTTTTCTCCTGATGTGCAACACTGAGCTATGAAGTAAAAATACCTTTTCTGTACTGGAGATTCTTTGAGCTTTTCCAACACCACAAGAACAAGAAGCAGGCTGTTTTTTTAATTTAGAAATGTCAGAATTATACTAAAATAAATAAACTTTAAATAGTCCTTCTTATGTAATAACTCCCCAAGACTATTCCTGTCACATATAATCTGCTAGCAAGGCAAGTATATACAAGCATTTACCAGGACTAAGTAATCCTGGGGAGCTGACCAGTCTCTCCATGCCAAGGTGAATTACATAAATTCACTGGACTTTCTCAGCCTCATCATTAATTTTACTTTTCTACTTTACATGAAAAATCAATGCCCTTACTGGGGTTTTATTGTGAAATGGAATCTTCACAGTTTCAGGTCCCAGACAGTGCAGTTTCATATTGTAAACTACAACATAAATGTATATGTGCTGTATTAAGAAACTAACCTGAGGAAAGGATTTTGGAGCATGTTCCCAGTGGAAAGGGCTAAAGTAACTGTAAATAAATGATGGACCTGGGGTCTGCTGTGCTCTACCCCCCTGTCCATCTGGGAATCAGTGCTGGAGAAGCTGGGTTGAACAAGAGGATGCTGCTGCAAGCTCAGGAGCAGAGAACTCAGAGGAAGGCAGGGAAGAGGCCTGTAAGGGAATGCCTGAGCAAAACAAAGCTCAAAATAGAGAAAAACCCCAGGATTTTTAGGCTCCATCTATTGTAATGACAGTCTAATTCAGCTTTTAACCCAGGATAGTATTCTGAGGCTATGCTATAATAGCTAATTTGCTTGTAAATGGAAGTTAATAATGCTTTATATGTGACTTCCCACATCTAGATAGCAGTTTTATCTCTGTTTGTGTAGAAATTCTATGTAAAGAAAGCAGTGAAGTAAAAGCTCCTCCTCCCTCTTTCTCAAATCCTTTGAGTATTAAATTGGTTTGAAGATATATTTGTTTTAAAGCACACAGTTTGTCTTTCCCCCATCACTGCAATTCTGAGATACTTTTATTGGCTTCTTAGACCCAGAAGAAAATCAGGTTTGCTTTAGTTTTTGGAATGATCTGATCAATGCTCATTTCTGGTACACATAGGAAAGCCAGTTTTTCCCTATGAATAAAGGATTTATAATAAAATACAGGGCTCATTTTCAATGCATTAAAAACACTGATATATATGTATATTTGTATCTGTATTGATTCAGATAATCTTTTTCTATCTGTGTAAGACCCAGGTCTCCCAAGGCAGAAAACCACTATTGTGTGAAATACTGGCACAGCAGGATAAATAGAATTAGCACCTCATTAATGCCAAGTCAGTTGAACAAACTCTTGTTCTCTCTGAAAAAGGGAAAACACAGAAGCAAACAAACAGCAAAACACAATAACCCTGCCAGTCATGGAAAATGCTGCTGCTGTGTGCATTGAAATGGTGCTGCTTTGTTTACAGGAGTGCTCATGGTGTGTATGGAAATCCTGACCCTGGGAGAGACATTTCACTGCAGCATTTCCAACCCTGCTGGTCCTGAAAAGCAAAAAGATGTGTCTGCCCATAGGTAGTCAGGTGTTTGCCATGTGGGGCTGACATTTGGTGAGATTCTTTCTGAAATGCAGCCCAGCTGTAGGCAGGATTTAGAGACCCATCCTTCAGCAGTGAGGGTGTAGGTTCAGAGGGTACCCTACCCTTCCCAAGCACAATTTCCTTTATTTGTCACCTCTGGAGCAGGAGCAATGGGCAGTCCACAGGGCCAGGGACAAAAGCTCAGTTGTCCTTGCTGTTGTGCTGCTGCTATCCTTCAGCACAGCACCTTCCTCAGAGGGAAAGGGTTTGCTGTCCCCCTTGTCCTGATGGCCATCCAAATTCAATATTTTGATTCCAGCTTCCATCATGACAGATTTGCCTCTTTTTGAATGAAATCTGGGATTATAGGGACACAATGGTTTGATGAATAATCCAGCAAATCTGTTTAATATTTTCCCACTTACAGATCAACAGCCTATTTGTAGAGAATTTGCTCATTTAAGTGAGAAGACTTGGTAACAATAGGTATCATCTTCTTTATTGGATGATTGAAGGTGTATAGACATTTAACTAATTATGTATTAGTCCAAAGGAAAACTAAACTTCACAGACAACAAAGGAGGGGTTCTGTAGGGGAACACTGCCCCAGAGACCCCAGCATGATGCTGGTTTACTTAAAAAGTGATTCAAGAAATTACTGAAAATCTATATTAGAATTTTCTCCCAGGTTTGTTCAGCTCAGGAAGCAGAAAGTACCAAACAGTTACTGGATTAGAACATTACCTTGTTATTGTGATAATTAAAATAATTCTAAACAAGAGAACAAGCATGGCCTCTGGCATGGAGTGGAGCCTGCCCTCAGGGCTGGAAGCAGGGCTCAGCATCAGCATTATCAGAGCATGTTCCTGGAGATGGAGCTGCTGCAGGCACCATCCCCTGGCAGGAAGCCAGGCACACATCATGGGGAGGAGCTGGGGATGCTTCTGAGCTGGTGCAGCAATATGTGATCAAATTAGGGCTGCTTTTGAAATGTTGATGCTGATAACAGCATTAACTTGCTAAAGGTTCTGGTGTTCAGTTACACTCGCTGTGGCACATCCCAGG